CAGCAACGCTGCAGAACTTCGAGAGCTGTGCGGCGTCGTTTTCGTGACTTTCTTGGTGGACGCCGAGCATGCAGTTATCAAGGCTGCCAAGGCCGCAGGCGTTGCCTATCATCAAGAGGTGAAGCGGAGGAAGGCAGACAATGTGCAGGACCCCATGGGTCCTCCTTTCGTTCATGTTTGGGTCGCCCTTTTGCGCGCCATCGGTCAGGCCGGCCCTCCGCCCGACATCGGCAAGTCACTGGAGCAGTACTGGACCGACTTCATCATGAAGAACAGTATCGATCAGGTGGCGACGTCAGTCAGGGCGTGCAGGGTGCGGCCGACCCGCAAGCAAGACAACCAGAAGGCCGTGGCGCGGGTGACGTTCGCGGTGGACCACAGCCATCAGTATCTCGAGAGCGCCCTGGTGAAGTACTTCCAGTCCATCGGCGGCACCAGGAAGTATGGGGCGGCGCCCAAGGGCGCCCTGGAGCGGGATGCCCAACGCCTTCTGGACCAGCTGGAGGGGAAACAGTAAGTGGGCGTGCTGGTGGTTCTAGTTCGGTGCCGCTGATGAGTGACGGTATTCAGAGTTTTGTACCGGCTGGTGTGACCCAGGGTCCTGAAGCTGGAGTGGGTGTTTCTGATGGGAGTCGTCCGTCGTCAGCATTTCTTCTGATGGGTGGTGATCTGCATACTGATACTCGGCCGAGTATGGGGACCAGTACGGGGAGTGGATCTGTCTTACCTACGTCTGCGGGGGCTTTGACGTTACCGACAGGCGCGACGGCTCCTACGGCTAGGCTGCCTGCTCCTCTGATTCCATCCAGATCTGAGCCTCGAATTCAAGACTCTAGTTTTCCTCTCGGGGTCCGTCCTGGGCCCTCGGCCTCGGCCCTCGGTCGCTCCGTGGCCCCTCGACCTCCTCCTGCTCGATCTCGGCCTCCCGTCCCCCCTCCGCCTGCGTTTCGTGGTAGTGAGCGTTTTCGTGCTAGTGAACGGTTTCTTGAATTGCAAAGTCGTGGACTGCTTCCCTCCCCTGCCTCGGGACCTCCGAGCCTGGGGCCAGGTGTCTCTGGGATCTCTGTGGCTGCTGGGGCGGCCGAGAATCGCTTTGTTTTGAGGGGAAGCGTCCAGGACGATAGAACTGTTTTCATTGCCAGGGCTCGTGCGAAGCCCGCGAGTCGTAGAGCGAGAGGGGTGGGACCACGGGGTCCTGCCTAGTGTCCGACGGGGTTTTCCTGTAATTCGGGGGTGGTGCCATACGACGCCCACGGGATACTCCTCCTCTGGGGCCGTCGTCAGGCTTGAGCGTTCCCCGCCGACAGGGCTCCTCTGTTTGGAAGTCTGACTCACTGCAGTCACTTAGATCCATTTCAATTGCTCCACGTTGCAAGGGAGAGACTTTGGGTCCGATAGTTCTTTGCTTTGCTTTGCTCCTCCGCCTCCTCCTCGTCCTCCTCCTCCTCCTACTACTCCTCCTTCTCCTCCCCCTCCTCCCCCTCCTCCTCCTCCTCCTCCTCCTCCTCCTCCTCTTCCTCCTCCTCCTCCTCCTCGGCCTTCTCCTCCTCGGCCTTCTCCTCCTCCTCCCTCCTCCTCCTCCTCCTCCTCCCTTCCTCCTTCCTTCCTTCCGTCCTTCCTTCCTTCCTTCCTTCCTTCCTTCCTTCCTTCCTCGTTCCTCCTCCTCCTCTTCCTCCTCCTCCTCTTCCTCCTCCTCCTCTTCCTCCTCCTCCTCCTCCCCGTCTTCTTCTTCTTTGTCATTAGAATATGGTTCAGAATATTGACAGTGGTATTCGCAACAGTGTTACCCGAATGCGTATTAGCACTAATCGTATCGGAAGTAGTAGCAGTTGCAGCCTTAGTATGATTATCAGTAGTAGTATTAGTAAGAGTGTTCGTGCTAGTGTTAGTAGTAGTAGTAGTAGTAGTAGTAGCAGTAGCAGTAGTAGTAGTAGTAGTAGTGGTGGTGGTGGTGGTGGTGTAGTGGTGGTGGTGGTAGAGTAGTAGTAGTAGTAGTAGTAGTAGTAGTAGTAGTAGTAGTAGTAGTAGTAGTAGTAGTAGTAGTAGTAGTAGTAGTAGTAGTAGTAGTAGTAGTAGTAGTAGTAGTAGTAGTAGTAGTAGTAGTAGTAGTAGTAGCGTAGTAGTAGTAGTAGTAGTAGTAGTAGTAGTAGTAGTAGTAGTAGTTAGTAGTAGAGGAGTAGTAGTACAGTAGTAATAGTAGTCGTAGTAGTCGTAGTAGTCGTACTAGTAGTCGTCGTCGTAGTAGTCGTTGTAGTAGTGATAGTAGTAGCAGTAGTAGTAGTAGTCGTCGTAGTAGTAGTAGTAGTAGTAGTAGTAGTAGTAGTACTAGTACTAGTAGTAGTAGTAGTAGTACTAGTAGTAGTAGTACTAGTACTAGTACTAGTAGTAGTAGTAGTAGTACTAGTACTAGTACTAGTACTAGTAGTAGTACTAGTACTAGTAATAGCAGTAGTAAAAGTAGTAGTAGTAGTAGTCGTCGTCGTCGTAGTAGTAGTAATAGTAGTAGAAGTAGTTGTAGTAGTCGTAGTAGTAGTAGTAGTAGTACAAAATTAATAATATGGATCTTGGGACCGGTTGTGGGATCGATAAACAGATCGATAGTGGACTCTATAGTGAGGACGATTATAGGGTCGATAGTGAGACCAAGAGTGACATCGATTCAATGACATCGATTGTGAGATCGATCGCGAGATCGCTCATGCGATCTCTAAAGAGATCGCTTGTGAGATCGATAGTGAGATCGATTGTGAGATCGATGGTGAGATCGATAGAGAAGTGAAAAATGAGATCGATGGTGAAACCGATCGATAAGAAGATCGACCAGGAACCCGGGAACCCGGGAACCTCGCCGCCCTCTGAAATCGGCCCGGAACCAGTGACCAGAAACCCGGGAACCCCGAACCGGGAACCGGGGAACCCAGCGTGCGACTTAAATCGGCGCGACACTTTCGCGAAATCTTGTAACTTCCGCGAGGACCTCTTCAGTGCAAGCACTGATTGGGGATTGTTACCATTCATATTCGTACTCGTCTTCTCAGTCTTCTGCTGAGTAGTATTCGTATGTTGATGAATCGTGTTCTTAGTACTATTCGCAGTCGCAGTCTTACTATCATGAGTCGTAGTACTAACATTCGTACTATCCTACATCGCATTATTAGTTATATGCCTGGTATTGTTGCTGTTGGACTATTGATATTATTGTTAGTTGTATGTTTCTGCTCATGCTTATGCCTATGATTATGAATATGCAGATTGTGCTTAGTCTGTGTTGTCCTCCTCCATTTAATATTATTACTAGTATTACCATTATTCCTCCTCCTCCTCCTACTCCTCCTCCTCCTCCGCCTCCTCGTCCTCCTCTTCCTCCTCCTCGGCCCCCGCCTCCGCCTCCGTTCCCGCCCCCGCCTCCGCCTCCGCCCCCGCCTCATCCTCATCCTCCTCTCCTCCGCCTCCTCCTCCTCCTCCTCCTCCTCCTCCTCCTCCGCCTCCTCCTCCTTCTCCTCTTCCTCCTCCTACTCCTCCTCCTCCTCCGCCTCCTCTTTCCGTCCTCCTCCTCCTCCTTCTCCTCCTCCTCCTCCTCCTCCTCCCCGCTGCTGGGCAGAAGGCAGAGTCGGGGGCAAGAAGCACAAGCATTGGCACAGGCAGCGGCGACAAGAAGCAGAGGCGGAGGCAGAGACTGGGTCAGAGTGGAACCCAGAGGAACAATCCAAGGAAAGGGGAGTGTAAAGGGGAGTGAGATGGAAAGAGAGTAGCAAAGGAATAACGGGGAGGGCACACAACAAGGAGAAGATACACAGCAGGGGGCGTGGAAGATAAAGCGAGGACGAGCGATTGCAAGACACAACGGCACGGATGTGAACAAGTATGGTCGACGATCGAACGCATGATCAATAGATGCTAGTGATTACGGCACATGGGAAGCTTTGAGTGTAACGACCACGGAGCGCATGTTCGATTCGCGGCCATGACAGGCGCCATGGGGGAGGCGGGGGTGACGGGAGGGGGCACGACGGAGCGCCAGCCCCCCCCCCCAGACTGTGGTGCTGGACGCATTGCTGCAATGCCTGGGCTGCACTGAATGGGGGGAGCCTTACGTTATGGGGGGGACGGGGGGGAGGGTAGGGGGCAGAATGCGCGATATGACCAAGATGGTGAAACAAACACTTTCGCGACGAGGGCGAAGGTGGACACGACGAGGAGGAATACGAAGATACGGATGAAAGTGGAACTGGACACGATGCTGAGGACGGAGACGGAGCTGAAAGAATGAGCGTACATATGCGGGCACGGATGGGCACAAATCAAGGCGACTTGGAACAGATCAACGCACAGATCGTATGTTTGCCGGCCCAGCGGACCAAAAGCATGCTAGAACATCTGGTAATCAGTTCAGAAGTTTTCATTTACTAGTCCGCGTGCGCGGGGCAGCCTCTGGGGGACCCCAACAAGCAGCCGACATTTAGTCCGCAAGCAGCGGGAAGTTCGACTCAAACAAATATTTCTGCTGGGAGCGGCCCTGAGGACCCCCAAGACAGCTTCACGATCGCCCTCGAGGGAGCTCCAAGAGGGCCCAAGAGCAGCCCAAGAGCGAGACCAACAGGTGGCAGGCCCCAACGGGCCCCGATACTTCCCCGAATTGGCCCACGATGGTAGATCCGACGAAAAAAATCTGGATCTTTCTCCAGCCTCCCAACTGGGGCCAGAGCAAATGGTGTCGAAGAATCGCGCGTAATCTGACGAACGAACAACGCACACCCATACCCATAGGGGGGTCGTTGGGAGGAGGACTGGCTGTGGGTATGGGTGCGGGTTGTCAGACCCTGGGGAACGCTCCCGTTCCTTTCGAGCGGGGACCCCCATCCGACAACACGCACCCATAGACCTCTCCGATCCCCCTATGGGTATGGGTGTGTGTTGTTGGTTCGTCATAATCTCCGGTGCATCGCCCGTTCGCACTGACTGCCTGAGTGCGCGGCCGCTCCGCAGCTTGACTGCGCCTTTCGACTACCCGAATGCGCGGTCCCTCCGCTTCTCGACTACCCGAGCGAACGGGCCCTTTAGCTCCTTGACTACCCAGGCGCGGGCGCGAGTTTCGTCTTGACTACGCGGGCGCGTCCGCGTCGCCCTCAGCCTGCAAGCACAACTCGAACTCATCGGCGCCAGTACCAGTGGAGACGCGACAAGCCACTTCCGGCGTCTGGGACCTGGGCCACCGCCGCTCGCAGCGGGGGCCTCACTTGTCACCGCGCCCCACACACTGGCCCAAAGCAACCCCGCCCCGAAGCGGGGACCTCACTGGCTGATCTCCCTGATCGGTGGCGTCTGGAGAAGGTCAATAAACGGGCCATTTTGAGTTACTTGGCGTTGATATACTGGCCCCACGGGGGATCTGTAGGGTCTATTGGGAATGACCTGGGTTTGCTTTAAAACCCGCCAGTATTACACAAAACAACCGATAATGCCCAGAAGAGGTCCAATATGGCCTCACGATCGCCAAACATCGCTCCGATAACGTCCCAAAAAAGGATCGAAGATGCCAGAATCCGGTCTCCAGACGGGCAGTGTTAATTGGCACCGGCTCGTCATTCCATCGACGGCCTCCAATGTGGCACGATGATTGCACGGACGGCTCCCGAGAGGGCCCAAGCAGAGCCAGAAGAGGGCCAAACAACCCCCGACAAAATCCCCAAGTGAGATCCCCAAGAGGCCCCAAGGAGACCCCCAGGAGGCCCCCAAGAGGTCCCACGGAGACCCCCAAGAGGCAACAAGGAAACCCCTGCGCAGCCGCCCGCACTAGCAATAGGGAGGCCGGCGGCAGAGGGCGAAGCCCGATGGGCCCAAAGAAGCCCCCAATAAGCCCAACAGAGGCTCAATATAAGCTCCAAGAGGCCCCCTCACGGCCCGTAAGAGAAGCCGAAGAGGCTTCTAAACTGCCTCCAAGAAGCGCCCTTGACGCTGCGTCAAACTCCCAGGGAGCGGCCGGTGATGCGCCGCCGGCGTTCTCGATATGATTGTGCTAGGTGTTCGAATCAGGGCGCATGGCGTCAGACGTCATTGTAAAGACAGCAGCGCGACCGACTCCCGCAGGCAGCGCGGCGAGCAGCAGCATCCGGCGCCGAGCGGCGGGGCAGGAGCGGAACCGAGTAGAAGTGGATGCCAACATGACTGGGCGCAACAGAGCAGAAGGACATTGTACTCGGAGTAGGGGTATCGGGTCGGGCGAAGTTTAAAGGGGGGGGATAGCAAAGGGGGGTTTGAGAATCAGCTCACGTAGCTGTTTTTCCCGGCGCCTCCCGGCGCCGGAGGCGGCCATGTATCGAGGAATGGGCCTGGCGGCGGGCCGAAACCAGCTGCATGCAGCAGATGTCGTAAACCCTCCTTTCCCTATCGCACCCTTTCGTCCGGCCCGATAGGACAGGTGGAAGCTTGATCAGAAGAATGTATGGTTCAAGCAAAAAAGAGCGACGACAAAAGCATGGCACGGCAGAGCCCATTCGAGTATCCCACCAGCCCTCTGGACGCAGGTGGTCTAGGGAGGCTACTCTTCCAACTCCCTTCTTCCCCTACGGGGAGGGGTGCACCCCTCCCCCTCACCCCCCGCCACTGGACTTGGACGGGGGCTTCGCGAGGGGTTGGAGCGTCCAAGACGGCCGGAGACGGCTCCAAGAGCGCCTCAGGGAGCCCAAGATGACCTCCAACATGGCTCAAGGCAGCGCAGGGCGCCTCAAGATGGCTCACAAGGTGCTCAAAGAGGCACCAATAACGCTCCAAGATGGCTTCAGGTGGCCACGGAGCCTCCCCAGGAGGTCGCCAAGAGGCCCAAAATCCTTCCAAAACCTGGAGGACATGAATTCATGTTGGCGTCTCGCCTTTTTGCTGTCGGTTGCCCTCCTAGGCCTCCAGACAGCTCTAAGGGGGCCCCAGGGAGCCCCAAGAGAAGCCCAAGAGAGCCCAAAGACGGCCCCAAGAGTGCCCAAGAGCGCTCCAAGAGGGGTCCAAGAGGCGAAGTTTGGCACTCGAGGAACAACGGTAATTGCGACCCTCCCCTTCTTTGATTGATCTCATCCAAGATGACTCCAAGAGCGCCCCCAAGGCTCCCAATAGCGCCCTAAGAGGGCCCCAAAGAGGGCCCTAAGAGGCGCCAACGAGGCCCCGAGAGGCACCCAAGAGTCCTCCAAGAGGCTCCCAAGAGACCACCAAAAGATCTCAAGAGGCTCCCCGAGGTACGCGAGAGGCCCCTGGGACTGCCAAGAGGCCTCGAAGACGGCGCACGAGGCCCCCAAGCTCGCCATTGCTCTTGTCCTCCTCCTCATCATTATCTTCTCCTCCTCCTCCTCCTTATCCGCCTAGTTGTCCTCCTCCCTCCCTCCTCCCCCTGCCCCACGTCCTCCTCCTCTCTCCTTCTCCCTCCTCCTCCACAAGTGCACACTGTGAATACTCCTCTCCTCTTTGACGTCAGGAAAATGGCCGGCCCCCCTCCGCGTACTGTTTTTTTTACACCGGATTCCCTGGAAGGGGGTTTTCGATTGGGTGTGTTTGTTTTTAATGCTGCTCTCGCTGAGGCTCTGGCTTCATTTTCGGGCCACCGCTCGTTCCGAATCGTGCTCCCGCTGCAGCGCTGGTGTCATTATGTCCAGCGCCATGCCACGGGATGGTGTTCGGTCCTTCCAAATAGGCTCCCAAAATCTATGAAACGGTGCCCGAAAAAAACATCGGAAGTGATTACACATTCGGTGTCGAGTCGTTGATGTGTTGGGTCGCAAAGCCCCCCCCCACGTTGGGGCGTCGCCACGCCATGCTATGTCAGGCTACGCGTTGATCTTCAACACCATGCTGTCCCATGGAATGCTATGCCCCGCTACGACATCCGACTGCGCGAATTGAGAGGAGATTTACGCCATGGTAATGGATGGGAGGGAGGGGCAGGACGTCAGATATGACGCGAGCGCACCTAGCTTGCCCTCCCCCCATCCTCCTCCTCCTCCCCCTCCTCCTCCTCCTCCTCCTCCTCCTCCTCCTCCTCCTCCTCCTTCTCCACCTCCGTTTCCGCCTCTGCCTCCGCCTCCGCATCATCCTCATCCTCCTCCTCCTCCTCCTCCTCCTCCTCCTTCTCTTGTTCGTCCTCCTCCTCCTCCTCCTCCACGCTGCAGGGCCAAAGACAGACTCGGGGGCAAGATTCCAGCCCGATTCCTGCACCTGCACGCTCCGATTCCTTCTCCCTCCATCCCCTCCTGGGGTGCGACGGTCACTCCAGCCCTTTGCTCGTCTGTATGATCCTCCACTTCCCTAATCAGGGCAACTCGTCTGGGCATCGTTTCTGGATGGGCTGGTGCGGTTACACGATGCGTCTAGAATTTGCGATTCACGTGCGCCCAATTGTTCCGAGCAGGATGATACGCGACCGATGGCAGAGCAACTTTGATATGATCGGTGTAAGGGCCATACCAACTTGCTCCCAACGTTTTCTTGATCACCGAAGGTGTTGCGGGGGTAGTGCCACAAAACGTCACGCGATTCCAAACGAGGGCCTCTTCTGACCCAAGGCCACAGGCAATTCCTCCTGAATCGTCTTTTGAAGGTCCCGGGTCCGACGAAGCCCCAGAGGGTCCCAGGCCTGGCGGACCTCCCATCGTGATGCTTTCCACGATCTGAAGGATCTGGGCTTCGATTCTTATATTACATCATCGGAGGCCTGGTCTGTCCCGTCGCGGTCCTGTCCGCGTCGAATCCGTGTCGAATCCATGTCGGATTCGTCGGAGCTGTGTCGAATCTGTGTCGAATCGGCGTCGGGTCCACGCCAAATCCTCTTCGCGTCCGCATCGAGCCCGTATGGGGCACAAGAAGAAATACTAACGTTGCGGACAAGCGAGGTCCCCCGAAGATGCAACGTAAGGCTTCGATCCTAGGCACCGAGCCGAAGGGCTCCGTCTGCACGGTTTCCCGCTGGGCCGTAGGCGACCCGAGGAAGAGAAGGAAGATAAACCCAAGAGGCATCAACGATGTTGGAATAAACCCGCCCTCCCAGCTCCCTCTTTATAGGCCCCTACAACGGTTCATTTCCATTGAGGGAACTGCCTCGTTGGAAGACAACAGTTTGAAGACCCTGCAGCATGCCAAAACATTGCTCTCGGGATTCCAACGCCACGGATCAACATGACTGTTGCATGTTGACGATCCAGAACTGTGCCAGAACGCCATTCTTGGGACTTCAACACAACGAATCAACGTAACTGTTGCGCCCGCGTCATCCCGAACCATTCCAAAACACAATTTCTGGTACGTTGATGATGGGAACGCGAAGGAATCCTGTAATTTGTTACAACGAATGTGCGCGGCGCTGGGGCGAGAGCCACATTTTGAAAACCACCCACCCTTCCTCCGTGAAACCCCGGCGAATCTTTAAAACGAATGTGCGCGGCGCTAGGGCGAGAACCACATTTTGAAAACGGCCCGTCCTCAATCCGTGAAACCTCTGAAATTTTGTTTAACGAATGTGCGCCACATTGAGGCGAGAACAACATGTTGAAAACCACCCGCCTTCAATCCGTGAAACACTTACAAATGTTTACAACGAATGTGCGCCGCGCTAAAGCGAGAACCACATTTTGAAAACCACCCGCCCTCAATCCGTGAAACTCTTTGAATGTTTAAATCGACTGTGCGCCGTACTAAGGCGAGAGCCACATTTTGAAAACCACCCGCCCTCCATCTGTGAAACTGCTGCAAATATTAAGCTTCAGAGTCATAAATGATGAGATGTCTCATGTGAAACGCCCAGCCCGCCCTAAAAACTAGCCTCGGGGTGCGA